CGATATCTGTTCGCTCGTGAAATTCGCTGCTGTCTGCGACCTTGGGTAAAGAGCAGAAGATGAGCAAGAATGTTTTTCTGCCTGTAGTCAGGCAGGCCACTGTTGCCGTTTGCAGTCGTGCGGCCGTCAGATGGGTTGTATAGCAGGGGTTCGTCACGTACTTCTTCTTATAACTGTGTTGTAGTCACTCAAGCACCATCACCACCATCCTGGTTATGGCATAGACAAAGGATTGGAGACCAGCTCGAATGAGTAGATGTGGACAATTAATTACTGCACATCTTTGTTTGTCAGATATGAGCTATGGAAGTCATCCCTTCAAAATCATTTTCAAAAACATTTCAAATACACATTTTAAGTCAATTTAAAACATTTTTCAATTAATTAATAAAGACAAATTACTTTATATTGTTCGAGAAATTTAAATTCAAAATTTAAAATCAATTCACAGAATACAAATATGTAATTAACTTGAATTAATTCAAACTTTCCAGAAGCATAATTGCTTGATTAGTTACAAATTCCCTTCACATCATTTTATAAATTCATTTTCTAAACGATACAATTTATTTTCAAAACAACAAGCAACTATTTATAACTTGCAATTATAAGAAACATGTTACATAACTCAACAAATCGTCAATCTTGCTCCGTCCGCTTGCATCACCTTAAAATTGAAATTGAATTTTACAGGAAACGAATCACGCTCACTAAGTTTGAAATTAATCATTACGTTTACATTAATCACAGAAATGCGAATCTAACTGTTGGTTCAGATTATTATAGGTAACAAACGACAAACGGTATAGCTTAATTATTCAAAGGTAATCATATCAGCTTTCAAACATATATAAATGTTTACAATCAAAAGACAGCTCATTTAACAAATCCAAAGTTTATGCAACTCTCAATCTATGTCAAGACCTCTGGAAATCACTTACTGAACGTTTTTTACAATTATGCCGCCCACTTTGTTGTGTCCGGTCGTGTGCAACTATTAGTCGGCTTAGGAGTGCTCAGGTGCTTGTTTTTGAAATATATAACGTTTTTTTTTGGTTTCCTGTCAATGTTTTTATTGCTGATTCAAATCGCGATGTTATGCAGCTCGTAAGTGTGAGCATGTTTTTTCCAGAGGCACAAAAATCAAAATGGCACCAGAAATACATTTTTTTGTAAATAACGGCGATTATATTGTATTTTGACTCCTAAGTATGTTAGTGGAACATGTATAGTATTATACTTGTGTTATTTGCGACTTTGGTACAACCCTTTGACTCTATCTTGGTGTAGTTTTGAGATCATGATACGGCGATATTTTCTTTTCGCCGATCGCTGGCAATCCCAACCGTCTGGCTTAGTTCTGGGCTATGTCAGGCGACATAGTATAACATGTTTTAACAATTTCTCCCACAATTCAAACCAGCTGGTTCCAAATCTGATGTATCCAGTTAATAGCAGGTTGAGCATTTTTGAATAAAAACAATTGTAAAAATGGCAGCCAAAAACCTATATGGCAGACATAGTTGTAGTGATTATGTAATTGCCAGTTTCAATTACGCGTAACAAACTTGTTAATTCAAGTTTAAAATGATCATTACTTAATAGTAGATGAGGAACAATTCTTTATCTATTATATTTCCAGAATGACATTGTATGGACAACCAAGAATAGCCCTCATGGCCAAAAGATGTTAAGGGGTAATTTGACATCTTATTTTCAGACATATTCTTAATATATCTGAACAAAGAAATTAAATAATGGACAAATGGTTCGATCACTTGTCATGTCACACAGGAACAACGGTCTCACTGTACAACAAGAATGCCTTTATTCAATTATTCAGTAAACATCTTCATTTCATTATCTTTAATCTTCGTCATCCACCGCTTAAGTTCTTCTGTGGATACCCTCCTCACCAATTTTCGGCAGTTTCCTTCACCTCGTGCAGGTGCAGAACATCCGTACACGCGTAGACTGAACTTCTACAGTTACAATTGCTGATTTGCACCAGATATTGCAGCCACAGCTGATGAGATGTAATACCTCATCAGGCACAATAACTGTTCGTCACATTTATACAGCCTGGGAGCAGGTTAGAACTTCTTCTCCCATCCAACTGTGAGGATCTAGAGGTGGAGTGGGACGGTTCATGCCAGTAGAGACTTCACAGCAGAACTGTCTGATAGTGGGCACGGGTCAGTGTGGTCTGAAAGCTCGCCATTTGTATTTGTGGTAAGCTGCTGAGTTTTTGGTGCGTACAATGTCTTTTGCAGCTAGCTTTCGAATTGAAAGAAGGCTGCTCGCATCGGTAATATGTTCTCAGAGATTCGTGATGTTCTGTCGGTACAACAGTCCTACATATCGCCAGACAAGAGTCGACGATTTCAGTCAGCTAAGTAGATAGATTCTAGCTTGATGTGTCAGCAAATGCTTCCAATTGCTTCAGGACTGTTGCCTGCCAATTCTAGCAAAGAGGATACGGAATCGCCAACCAGTTAGTGCTTGAGCTGCCAGGTAGGTTGGGCCGATAACTTGTGCATGCTTTTTCACGAACTTCATTTGACATCAATCAATTAGCGGGATTTCTGAGTGCATGACTCCATGAGAAGTTTTGACTCTGCTCTTGGCCATGGTCGGTTTTGTTTGCGCAGATGTGTAGATGGTGAGCCAAGATCACAAGAACATCTGTGTCGTCAGGACACAACTTTGATAGAATGAATGGCTGCACACAGCTTCATTTATTGCATTGATAAGCAATGAGGACTGTCAGCTGTCCTCATGGTGTCCATGGTTGTGCAGCTGGCTACTCAGAGTACCTACGTCAATGGGACGAGCATTCTGCCCGTCACCAATGATGTGTCTTGCCTCTCGGAACGGCTCAGACAAATCAGTTCATCTAACGATCATTCGAATGCATCTGCTCTTTGCTTAGCTGCTGACATTCAAGGGTGACAGTTTGCTTTGTAGTGGGGCCAATCTTAGGTTGTAAGTTTTGTACATACGACTGACACCGTTTGGCACGTTGTTGTCGCGACGCATGGACTTTTCGCTGGTCTCCATAGTATCTGTCAAACATCATGCAAGAAACGTGTTCCATTCACATGACGCTTATGCTAGCCAAGCAGCATTAACAAAGTTGACACCTGAGCAGGTGTGGCAGGCCAGGAACTGTCCACAGAACTGCCACAACCAGCCTAGAATAACACTTGCAAGGCGCCCTGTTTTCATTTGACTACATTCTACTTTGATCTTGGACTCAGCACCAGACTTGTGAGGTTGTCTCTCATGGTCACCATGAGCATTAAACGAGCGATGGAAATGGGAGCTAGTATCATAGGAGAAGAGAGGTTGTGTAGAAAATGGTCTCCCTGAAGAAGCATGATTCCAATGACTCGAGCATAGATAAAGTTCAGTGCTTCACGGTTCTCAGGGACCCCACCACTCATCTTCTGACTTTTGTACGGCGTAACATTGGTTTAGACCCTTTTACATATCTTCTTGTGAAATCCCGTTGGCCACTGCCTTTCATACTCCAACACTGATCAGTGCTGAATTATTCACGCGGAATCATCAGCATTGACACCTTTGTCATCACAACCTGGACCAGGAAAATATATGTGACAAAGACTTCCATTGGTGTGTGTCACTATAATACACATCAATGGCATGTGCACAGTGCTTCCGATATCTTCAGTCTGTCAGCAGCATCTGCCTTTCACGCGGGTCGTCGATCCTCTTATCGCAGGCTGGACCACTGTCTGATGTTCTGACCTGTAGCTACTTCCCAGAATCCCTCCTAACTGTCCAAACATGCTAAGTGATAGAGCCCAGGATGGCGAGGTAGTTTCATTCAGGGTTGGAGCCAATGGATACCAGAGGCCCTTTGCCGTAGCGCATGTTCTTAGTTTTCGATAAGAGGTCAGACCACGACCGCTTCCAGAAGACATCATTGGTGATGCTATGACATGTTCTCCCGCTAGAAACTTTTCCAGCGACATTCGGATTGAAAGCCGTCTGCATGAGCAGCGCAGATAGTACAGTCCATAAACGTTGCGTAATTAACAGTCTGATGAGAAGAAATACGGTAGATTTTTCAACTGGCAGACAATATGAAAGTGGCCAATTGCCCTTCTCTTTCAGCACGTGCAAAGGTCATGATGATCAGGACAGGCTTTATCAGGCAGTCAACCCACAGTTTCGTTGTCCTACTGCGTCTACTGATAGTTTCCAAGTATGTCATGAGGTTGTCAATGTTAGATTCCTCGTCCTTGTTCAGTAATGGCCATAGTAGTTCTTCCAGCACAATTCTAAGCGCTCGGATGTTTTCTGGAAACTTCTTGCCAGAGAGAAGCTTTGGCACCCCAGCAAATGTTGACTTGAGAATGTCTTCAAGGCCGCTGCCAGCCATCAAGGACCCTGCTGCCCCCACAAAACTCATTAAACAGTGCATACCTCCTAACCTTGGCACAAACCTTGGGAAGAGAGCTGGTTCATACCATACTATGTTGACCACCACCTTGTATAATTGCTGGTCACAGGTAAAAATTGTCCATTCCTGGCCAGTCAGTGTAGTGATATCCTGTGCTTGAACCATTGCCGTTTTCATTGTCTGGTTCTGAGGTAGTCATATCTAGAAACGGAGTGTACAGCAGACTGGTCTTCTTCTCTGGCTGCTGGCCTCTTTCCCTGGCCTGTTTCGTGTTAAACCCACCATATTCTGGACACGGATCTTCCCCGGTAACAGCTTTCAGAAACACAAAATCTTCTGCTGCTGCTCTCTGATTTGACAATTGCATTCTGGCAAGAAAAGCAAGCGTGGGTACAACTCTTCTAGCATACTCTTCTGGCATGTCAGATTGCTTTCTGCCACGAAAACGTTGAACGTTAATATCTACCAGAGACAGTTTGGAAGCCTTTGTCTCTTCCCACTTCAAACGTTGGATTGTTTGAGAGACTGTCTCACTATCTACTGGTTCTGACTTTGGCTGACCAGCTTGGGTGATTATCATAGCCAAGCCATGGGTTGACTTTTGGCCGTTTTGGGATGAGATTTGCGTGTCAAAATTGTCCGCAACCACTTGGACAAGGCCATTCTTACTGTCAAACTGTGCTATACCTTGATCATCTTTTGCCATAGCTGCGGCTGCCGAAATTCGAAAACGCCTTAGTTACTGGAAGTTACTCCAAAACTGTGCAGCTGGTCAATTACACTTCTCTGTTGATTGAACAGGGTACTGAGTGCCACTTGTAAGCTGGTGACTTGATCACAAACAGCGCTTAGAACAATATTACCAATCATTGCTGCTGGCAATGTAAACTGCAGTTTGGGAGATATTTCTGCCACGAGTGCCAGAAGAGTTTGACTGCATTCACCTGCGATAAAAGAATATTCACATAACATGTATATGATAATAAAATGGAAACACTCTTCATTGTAAAACACCATACTATTGCTGAAAAGGAATTAAATAAAATGTACAAAGGTTTTAGGTGTACCTGTGACTGAGTCAAGTGATATGTGCGTTACATACGTGCTGGTATCTGGCTTCTGTGCAAGGCACTCAGACTTTATCTTCTTACCAAGGCTTGAGATGGCTTGATTGCAGTCATCTTCGACATCATCCACGATCCGAAGGTTAGCTGATGCATTGCTTCTGAACAGAAGGATAGATGCCACGCTTGGTGAATAAAGAACAAGTAGGTCTGGATGAAGGGTCTTGCCAAGGTAGTTGATGAGTGAACGCCGTGACAGTTGTTTTCCACCCAACTCCTCGTATAGTTTATGCAATTCAACACTGTTCCAAGTTCTTGTTGGATCTGAGTGAAGCTCCTTTATGAGTTTTTCTAGAGCAGTGTCATGATCAGTCAGAGTAAATGCAGTAGGACGGTTTGTGACAAACTTCAACATGCACTCTTTATGATAACGAGCGTCAGCTGCATGCAAGTCACTCAGAGCTGAATTTGCTCTGAATGCAACCTCATTTCCCCAGTTATCATTTCTCTGTATTGCATGGCTAAGAACTGACTCTTTGAATGAGATTTGTCCTTCTCTGTTAGCAGTTCTGCAAAGATAGGCCTCTCTCTATCTATTTGGATTCTTGTGAGGTCGCTCCACTTGGCATTCCTCTCCACAGAAGAGGCAGTGTTCCAGGAAACTGAAACTGCATTCAGTATTGCTTCGCAAGTGCTTGGAACTCGAGCTCGAGTCAGCTGGTGTCTCATTTTTTCTCTTCTTTAGGAGTCTTTGGATGTGGTGTGGGGAGCAGTATGTACTTATGCAGTTCTTGTGACACAAGAATGTGGTAGCGTCATCCGCAAGTCTCCTGGCCAGGTCATCGCCACGTTGATGGCTTGCTTGGCGTAGTGCAGTTATCCTGGATGAATGTGTCAATTTAGGTGCACTAGAGCCACATATTATACAATTCTTCTCCATTCTTTATCTGAAATAGAACAAAATTCTACGACTAAACTACAACTACATCTACAACTACATTTCGCCAGGGTTCGACACTAACCCACGTTCGACCGACCTAGTCGGGTAAATGCTTGGTCCGGTCGCATACAACCAGAGTGCTAGTACTAGTAGCCCGACTCGTCGTGTTAGAATTGGTCATATAGTACTCACACATAGTTACATGACATCATTTCACACATTTCTGCCTTATAATTCACATTTGTAATTACAAAATACACAATTGTCAGTGCAAGGCAAAACATCAAATCTTTATTACGGTGTTCGTGCTTAAAACGATACCTGTCATGCAGTGTCTAGCCCATTAACCCAGCGTGCAACCCAGGGTGCACTGAAAGGTCACCTCTGGCTAGACTGGTTCGCGGCCGAACTGTTTGTCGCAGAGCGTGTACATTGTCTAGCAGAGCGTGAGGCCTGATACCCGTCTACCCGTGGCTTGCTGCCAACCGCTGCCAGTAGTAGGAGCTGCACAGCAGACGATCAATAAATCGTGCGCCTGTGCATGCCCGTGGTAGAAAACGAATGTTTAATTTCCATACATACTTGGGGTCTAAATACAATATTATCGCCGTTATTTACAAAAAAGTGTATTTTCGGGTGTATTTTGTGCTCTAGAAAAAAATGCTCAACACTTACGAGCTGGCATACATCGGATTTGGCATCAGCACCCTAACATTGACCAGAAACAGCAAAAAAACATTATATATGTCGAAAAACAAGCATACACTATTATGACCATTACGCCTAGCCTGGACTCAGGAAACTTCGAATCAATTCATAGGACTTGCAATCTATTCACTACACTTTCCGAACCAGCCAACTACAAACCAAACTCCAAATCAATTAATTCTAAAAGTGCCCAGATGCTTCAGCTCGGATGGATACGCTATAGTATTGGAGGATCCGATTTTTACCACCCTGCGGGAAAGATGTGTTTGTTTACAGCTGTACACTACAGTGTAGTGACAGTGTTGCCCAAGGAGCGTTCAGCGTGACGTCACGTCCAGGTCACGTGTGTAAACATAGCTCTGCTGGTTGGCAAAAGCGTTCGCCGGCACAGGCACTTGTAACGTCTCAATAAAAAAAAAAGGTAAATAAACACGAAATGTATTTACTACTCTATTTCGCCTATAATCACCTGTAAAGCATCCGGGCACTTTTAGAATTAATTGATTTGGAGTTTGGTTTGTAGTTGGCTGGTTCGGAAAGTGTAGTGAATAGATTGCAAGTCCTATGAATTGATTCAAAGTTTCCTGAATAGATTTGCACACGGACTGGAAACAACAGAGTGGGCGGCCAATTGTAAACGTTAGTAAAGTAATTTCAGAGGTCTTGAATAGATTGGAAGTTGCATAAATTGATTGTTAAATGAGCTCTTTGATTGTAAACATTTATATGTTTTGAAAGCTGTATGATTAATTTGTAATTTAAGCTGTATGATTAATTTGTAATTTAAGCTATACATTTGTCATTTGTTACCTAATAATTCTGAAACCAACAGTTAGATTCGCATTTCTGGTGATTAATGTTAAAAGTAATAAATTAATTTCAAACTTAGTCAACTGATTCGTTATTCTGTAAATTAATTTCAAACTTATAATTTCAATTGCTAGGGTGACGAAGCAAGATTTGAACATTTGTGAGTTTATGTAACATGTTCTCAATTAAATTGCAAGTTAGTAAATTGGTTTGTTGTTTTGAAAATAAATTGTACGTTTAGAAAATGAATTTTTACAATGATGTGAAGGAATTTGTATATCAGTCAATTATTTTGGAAAGTTGTGAATTAATTTGCAAGTTAATAAATTGATTTGTTATTCTGTGAATTGATTTTAAATGTTGAATTTAAATTTCTCAAACAATATAAAGTAATTTTCATTTTTATTAATTAATTTGAAATGTTTAAAATTGATTTAAAATTGTGTATTTGAAATGTTTGAAAATGATTTTTGAAGAGGATGGCTTTCCATAGATGAGTGATCATGATCATACCCGATCTTATGACCCGTGTTTGGTCGGACGCCTGACAAAATTATGATGGCGTGTATAGAATTCCCAGGAGTCTGCTTGAGTACATGTGATGTTCTCGCTTCAAATTCTTGAGTAGACATAATTGTTTTTAAAAGCACATCTGGGCAATTGGTCTACCTTTCACCTACTTTGTTATTACCTATCATGGATATGGTGGTGCTATATATATATATATATATATATATATATCTATATAAGGACAAGGCTCAATTATATATCTAAATGTAGATATGTATATATAATTTACCTTTATAGAAAGTGCATATAGATGGTTCAGCATGACGTGGTGAGGTTCAGGCAAGAGAGACGGTTCGCACTGAAATAAGAATGAAAAACCAGTATACATATAGTAGCGACACCTCACCCAGGCCATATACTTCTCCCCAATCTTACACAAAGGCACTTCGTCATAGCAAATGGAAGCTAGTAGTGTTATATATGTTTTCCATGGTTTTGGAGACGGGAAGATATTATAGAGAAAGTGGGATTAGATTAGCTTAGTACAATAGCTTTTCTTAGTAGCAATAGTAGTGGATGCATGTGGTATCGGCCATAGTTGGAATAGGAATAAACTAATTAGTTGCAATGTGTTTTATTTAGTAGACAATTATTTGTTTCTGTGTGAGAAATGTTTCTTATTCAGGTGTTATCTGGCCTGCATCCAGTATTACCAGTTGTAGCTAACAGATGTTGTTACACAGGATTTGAAACAATAAGATATTTAATTATTGGCTGGTGTAATAATATGGATCAACACATGTTGTTAATTGGTATAATATTTATTATTCTGAGGAGCCATCCTCAAACACAGCTCACGCTTCCAAGCACACGTAGCAGAGAGAGAGTACGTGCATGCTCGCGGCCTCTCGTAGAATCTCGGACACTCATGCACGCACGTCATAACGTTACATCATTACATCCCCCTTTCCAAATGGAATGTTACATCCCCCGTTTCTTATAACAATTAAACATATGCGTAATTATGACATTTAATTTTTAACCTTGCTGCGGTTTGTATCCATATAACTGACTGAGAACTGAAAACTTATAACATAATGTCATGATTCTTGTGCAAATATCCTTGCACTGTGCGAATAATGTTCAACATTTTTACTTGCTGCGGTTTGTATCCATATAACTGACTAAGAACTGAAAACTTATAACATAATGTCATGATTCTTGTGCAAATATCCTTGCACTGTGCGAATAATGTTCAACATTTTTACACAACGTTCGTCGCCACAAAGACGTTCACAAATAAATGCTTTCCGCTAACCGGAATGTTCACAGATAAAACACTGCTAACTGGAATGTTCATTGCTTTGCACGTCTTTGCCAGTTAGCTAAACGAATAACGATTCAATTATAATGCAAAACATCGGACTTGCGATGATGCACACTACAAATCATAGCTTAATATAAGACTATTGTATGCATATTCTGTGCACCATTTTTAGGTGTCTAAATAACGTTTCGGCGTTCTAATATGCCGCCCTGAACGTGTTCTATACGTGTCACTGTTGGCTCTACCACTAACAGCCACTCCTGTTTTGGTGGTCACAGGTCTTTCAGTCGTGTTATGATGCGGCCGCGCCTGTGTAGTCTGCGGCACAACGACTGGATTGTCCTCAAAGTGGACTTGCTTGCCTGCTTTGGGCACACTACGTAATTGTTGTCTATTATGCCTAAGGATTCTTCCGTGTGGTGTTTCCACCATATAAGACCGTGGTTCTTGGCACTTTTGAATTACCTTTGCAGGGAACCACAGTCCAGTTTGCTGATCCTGTACCGTGACAGTCTCTCCCGTCATAAGGGGAGGTAACTCTCTGGCTCCAGCTTGGTTGTGATAGTGTTTTTGGGTACCCTGTCTCTCTTGGAGGCGTTCCTCTACCCTATCCCTATCGTACAACTGTTGATAGCTGGGCGACGTTCTGACCGGGAGGTTACTAACCACTTTTCGGTTAAACATCAGTTCTGCCGGGCTTGGCAACTGACTGTCAATGGGTGTTGTCCTAACACACAGTAGGGCTCGGTCAGGATCTGTCCTTGACGTGATGCGGCCATGATGCCGAGGATTGACACTTTGTGTCTTCCAATCACAGTCCACGCCGCACCCTTGTATTATCCCTTTCAGGTTTAATACTATTCGAGCATGGAATCGCCGATCTCAGGAACTAGGGCATTCTGCTAGGCTAGAACGGTTTCATACGATAGAGTTTGGCACAAATACGAATATAACACGCTGTTTTGCGCACAGTGCTAAGTCCTTTTGTTCTAATTTCGCCTATCTGTAAGCACAATAAGCCCCGCCTTATTCGTTGATGGACATGAATGGGGCGTGACCGACGTTACCACGGTTCCTGTACCTACCGTTTTTCGCCGGCCTATTTACTTTTTGTAAATAATGAAATGCCCGGCTGATGCATTTCGCATCTAGGAGGAAAATTATCCGCATTTTCACTGCGTCATTCAGTAATTTAGAGAGAAAACATTTCGGCAAAAAAACTCGCTTCGGGAGCCAATGTTTACATGCCACAGCGCCATCTCTTGGATCATTTTGGATATCCTCCAACATGTTTACTTCTTCCTTAGTTAAGTTAGTCCATGTTTCACTGTTATTTAGGAAGAAAGGTAAAACTGTGTATTCGCATAATTTTTCTTGCTTCTATAGTATGATTTTCACAATTTTGCTCTTTTGCCCATAATTATTTCCCTTAACCTACATTTTTCAGTTCCGACTCTTATCATAGCGTTATAACCTCCTATAACATTAATTAAATCCACAGACTAACGAATACGTATCCGTTAGTCTGTGTTAAATCCCCTAGGTATGAATATTTGGTGCATTTTTTGATTACTTGGTTGCCTATTAATCCCCTCGATCCTTTCTTTGTTTGTGAATTTTATATAACCATTATATTTGTTTTGTTCACATTAAATTCTCATCTTTTTGATTCAGCTAATCTGGGGCTAAACCGACCAGGCTCTCCGACTGTTACACGTCGTAGGAACAGCGATTTTTTTACTGTTTTACAATTTCCAATTTCTAGAATATCGTCCATATAATCATTGTCATCTTCTAAAACTACAGACCATCCGCTGACCGCTGTGGAGACGTGCGCCGGGCCTCGAATTTGGCGCACGTCTCCACTGCGGACAGCGCTTCATACTTGAACATCTCCGCGGTCGCGTGCGCATATCCCGCGGAACTGCGCGTCTCATCCGCGCGCAGCGCTCAGGATCAACAGCAAAGCTGTGCCACGCAATCTTGTATCATGTCTCTCTGGTTTCCTTAGCTTTCTTCAGGATTTCTTTGACTGTGCGCACGTTTTGTTAAATGAATCCATTTAATTTCGGGTACCTGGGGCTACTAGTCACGCCATCTATCTGCCATTACTGTAGAAACTGCCTAAATTCAGCTGAGCCGAATTGTGGGCCGTTATCGGACATGATATGCTCAGGTCGTCCATGTTACTAGTTGGACAACTGCACCTGTTGTGCATGCTCCCACTATTTTCCTCACTACGGGAAATTTTGTGTAGTAATCTGCCAGTACCAGATACTCTGCACCGTCAAAATGGAACAAATTTGTCTCATGTGGTTGAAGCGGTTCTGGTGGTTGGCTCGGTTTGTGCGTTTTGGCACGCTGAGCATTGTGCCACCAACTTGTCGATATCCTGGTTAATATTTGTCCAGAACACACAAGATTTTGCCCTAAGTTGCCACTTGGTAACGCCCTGGTGACCAGTGTGTATCTGCTCTAGGATATCGGCTTGCATGGTCTCTGGTATCATCACTCTTTGACTTTTCGTGACTAGTCCGTTCTCGACACTCAGTTCATCTCGGAAGGACCAATATACTGTGAGCGGGGTTGGGAGACCGCGTCGCTCATCTGGCCATCTGGCTATGATGACGTCTCACAACGCGCAGAGAATGGCGTCTTTGTTAGACTCCTCTCGCAGTTGCTGAAGCTTTGACGTCGAGTACTGCACGTGTAATACTTTGACGTCGAGGTCAATTGTAGTACGCTTTCTCTGATTAGGTTGTCTCGAGAGACAATCTGCCAGTTTTGTATTGTTTTTGTCCCTTCCGTATGTCGTCAGTGATCTGTCTGGTATCATTGCAAAATATAACACAGTTTCATCCATGTTAAATTAAAGACGTTCTGTGAAGAATAGTTTTTAATCACGTCTTTAGCTTTCTCTATTCCCGTTTTAATCACATCTGCGCCCACAACAGCACTCTCACTGCAAATTTTACAACTAGATATTCCAAAACGGTTCTTAAATCAACTGATCCAACCACTAGAATAAGTAAAATTATCACAAATCTTAAGTTGTTCTCCAAAATACATTGCTTTCTTCCTTAAAATATCCTGCGTAACGGTGATATTTTTTGCCCTGGTTTACGTGAACCACAAGAATAGGGCTTTTTCCATGTCCGCGTGTTTAGCAGGTCTCAATCTTTTTGAGCTGAGCATTGATTTAGACAGATCAGCATCCCAATTGTCAGATGCCTGTAGGATATCTCCGACAGTTCGCCTTTTTATTTCTCTACCCCACAGAGCAGTGAAATTATCGGCAACTGCTTGCTGTGACTTCAGGGGATATTTTTTAGAAAATTTGCAAATTTCACGTTTTTCAAGAGCCTGCAAGGCAACACGAGGTCGCTTCGTAGGCACCATACTAGCAAGTGAATGTGATGCAATACACTGTACTACATGTATAGCCTAATGCTACCACATAGGACTTGCGTGGATGTGCTGTGTGTATGTTACCATAGAAACTGAACAACCAATACCAACCAACACCCTCGATGGCGGTATAACAAGTGTATTTTCAATGCATTTATATAGGATTGTACATAGCCATAATGTTGCCAGTTGGCGGTTAAAGAAGGGCGGAATTACAAGGCTAAATTACGTACAAATAGATACAAGCGATCTGTACATTGGCATTTTCCAGGTGATAAGTGAGATTGGCAGTATTACGTGGGGTGGTTTACTCTAGTAGCCATTAAAACAGCAACAACAATAACATTTAACAGCAGCAGCAGCAGCAGCAGCACCAACAACAACAACAACAACAACAACAACAACACCAACACCAACACCAACAACAACAACAACAACAACAACAACAGGCACAAGGAGAAGAAAAAGAAGAAGAAGAACAACAACAACAACAACAACAACAACGAGAAGAACAAGAGCAAGAGCAAAAGCAAATGCAAGAGAAAGAAAAGAAGAAGTAGGAGAAGAACAAGAAAAAGAAAAAGAACAACAACAACCACCGCCGCCTCCACAGCCACTTGCACCACCACCATGACCACGACCACCACTGCAACAACTACAACAGCAACAACAACATGCATGCAGTGAAAGTAGATGTAGTGATATATCACTCAAATCACCAGCTCACTTGAAGGTAGGACCACTCACATGCACACATTGACTATGGTACTCACCGAGACTGGTGTGTCCTTATTGAGGATAACCTGCAGGAGATGTGGGGGGAGGATGGGTGGACCGGATGACCTCTCGTGCGCTGTCTTCACTGGGATCTCCTGTGAGTACTCACCTGGTGGTGACCCTGACACCACCCCTGCTGCATAAGGTGGAACACATATATACATTGCAGCAAAACAATGGCAAGTAACAAAATCGAAACAGCATAGCATCATAGCAGAGGATGAATAGAGCACAATTTCCGATGTACACTAATACCTGCAGAAGTAAAGAAAAAGTTCATGGCCACTTGCGATAATGTTGCTGATCATGAATACTTACTCGCTCATAAGATAAGTGAATTTCCGTGTGATGTGACTACAGGTACTTTAGTACTGCAGCTCACCTAGACGAGTGTGTGTTGATTGGACTTAAAAAATTTCTACAACAGCAATAACAGGGTCGACTCACCAGCTAACCCATGACCATCTTTGCTACTGTCCACTGCCAACGCCTCAAAAACCTCAAAGTCCGTCTTTTTTACTGACACCACATTGTTAACAGACCCTAAATTGTTGTTGACAACCGGCTGAAAAAGAATAATCGCTAATGAACATTTTATCCATATGCAAAACACTGCAGCTAATTGTTACCCATATAATCTACAGCCTACACTACAAAATTTTACAAATCTACAATTCGTAAGTAAAATACTTGCAAGAGTTTGAAAATTCATTACTGCACAGGGGTATGACTGGCAAGCTCCACTGCAATATATGTCAAGCTCGGCGAGTGATTTCATGACACCAATAGATCTCTAGAACTGAGCGATCAATGCGATTGAGGCATGGTACCTGCTTGGGATCATGCTTCCAATCGCCATCCACACAGAACTTGTACTGGTGCTCACCTTCTGCCAGTTCAATGATCGTCATGAAATTCTCCGTACTACAAACACAATTGAATCAACTGGTGCACACACGTTAAATGATACATGCATGCATATTACAGCCAGTGTGTTACCATGGTACATAACTCACTTAAAAGATGCTGTAGTCACACGGACTACAACATTTTTGTAATCTTTATAAATTATAAATCAGACGATTTGGGATGAAAGTCCAATTTTACGTTAATCTTGCAGTTAAAATGTCAAGAGACTACAATGTTGGCATTCTTATGAGGCTGCAACCTGTAAATTTTAAATAGTTCCAACAGCTAAAATAATAGCTGTCACAATAACTAGGACTAACACCTGAAACACTTAAGAGGATACTATAACCTAGAGTATGTTATGATAGTAAGTCCAAAATCATGGTATTTAACTACAAACTTTTACAATCACGCATTCTCATTTGTCATAAAACAGTGTTTTTCGAAATCTTTATTTTTGACCGTTGACAAGAGACCGCATGATTGTGCAACCACCCTGACAAAGTTGCGCTTCTAGTCCATGGGCCAGACCTGCTCAAATGTACCATTCAGAGGGACCAGCCGGAAGTGGTATAGATTTGAAGCTTAGCCTAGTGTGATTACAAAAAGTCATGATAGCAATCCCGAAAGAGTAGCTTTCTTGTATATTTTTAGCTCGGAAATATCGTATATATAGTCGATTTGACGTTCTTATGTATTCAATACCCAACCTAGAAATATTCTTTCCTATGATGTTTTTTTGCTGATTTGTACTTATATGGAGTTCTAAAACAAATTAAGCTAGGTTGCCCAAATGGCAACTTTAGGCAACTCTAGTAATTTGCACAAATCCAAAATGGCCGCTGGACTCCATCTTCAAAACTTTTTAACCACTTGACCTAAAATGATGTGTAATACATCTTTTATAGGTGTTTTAGGTGCGTAGAATCTATTTCTGACGTTCGGCAAGTCAAGGTCAAATTTTACTTTTCAGCAATGAACAATGAATGGAAATTTCAACTAAATTACATTTTAGTTTATTCATGAGCAGGAATGGATAATCATATATCATTTGACATATTTGGCGATGAAAAACAGTAAGAAGCCATATTTGAAACATGTGATCACACCTGTTAACACGTAGGTTGTAAATTATTTAGCTGCAGTAGGCACAGTCATGGTGCATAGTGCATGAACATTGGCTTACTCCCACTCATCATCCAGGTAATCAGATTCAGAAAGACTATTCTCAACATCCACATGGCCTTCACCCTCATGATCTATACCCTCCACAAAATCCTCTCCCTCAACATCCTTATATTCAACAATTCTCATCTTCAGCCTGAGCATCTCGTCTCTTAGTGTATGGATTGCAGCAGCTCGCTTTATCAGAGCAGATACAGTATGACGTGCATGAAAGATGTTCTTTGTGACAGCCACATGCCTTGGTGGTGCCCAATACACCCAGTACATCACTAAGCACACAGATTACGCCTTGTCCATAGTTAGCAGCCATAAGGACATAGGAGATCATGGTAATGTCGGCTTCATCGTGACCAAATACACCATCGTCCCGAGTAGCCATTGTTGCATTTTCTCCTACATTGAAGGTACACAACACGCTTGCCAGCCTCTGCTTGTTGTTCTTGCTCTTCATGATTGCAGCTCTTTTTGGCAGATAACTGGTAATGGAGAGTATATAGTCGATGATAACTTCACCAGCCCGCCGCATACTCTCATGATCCTTGGCTGAGACATCTTGGTACTTGTCGAAGACAATGATTTTCGCGATACCATCTGGATAGCGACTTAAACGGCATTGAATAGATGCAATCAGATCTGAGGGACTGCCACCATGTGGCCACACAATTTGGCATATTCTGCCGATACATTTTGCACGTTATAGACCTAGCGCTAATCACGAAAGTGCAATTATGTTTACATCTCACTGCTATTTAGACAAATTAACTACACATTACTACATTCAAAATTCGAATCATGTATGTCTTCGAGAATATAGCTAAGTACAAAGGTTCTAAGCCATTTTATCGTTTCTAGACAGCTGCTGTTACTAAAGCAATAACGGTAAGTGTCGCAAAAGTTGGGAAAACACGAGATTATGTTCGAAATAATAACTTTAAACATACATTTACTGATGACGTCAGAAACATGAACTAACTTGCTTGTTCTATGTATTCATCGAATCTATCAGCCCCAACCCTCTTATAGCATTTATGCCTCGTTACATCGCCACGATGATGGATGCCAGATGGGAGGAGAAGATGGGGAAGACCCAAGGAGACCTGGAGCAGGACCATCGAGAAGGAGATGCGGATGTGGGACCTGTCATGGGACACGCTGAGGCCAGTAGCAGCAGACCGACGACATTGGACATCTCTTGGCACTGCCTTATACAAGGGATAACATAACACATCGCCACGCGTTTCTTGACACGCAGCTTAGTGACCTCATGCAGTATGCAGCGTTCCCACGTTCTGCACACTAATTGCACAAGTGGTAAACTCGTAATTTCTCACAATTTCTCAAGCTGCACAGAACATTTTACCAATCTTGTGGTTTCAGTTAGTTATGGATATGTTGCAGCGAGTACTAACAGTAGATGTTTCACATACGTTCACCCATTTCGTAGACAGGCGGTCAATCAATGGTCAAAAGAAGAAAAATGCTAATTTCTGTTTCGATTTCTGCCACAATAGTCTATGTATAAATGGATATTTCTCTGCCATTACAACTCAAGATAATTTAATTTTAAACTCGTTTTAATAATAACACACTGCTGCAAAAAAGTACGCCAAGGTTTGATATTAAGTGCCATCTTTTATGAGTTATGCTTCTATATTTGCATATATTTTCAATCCAAACATACGATTTAAATTTTAGGCAGTTTTCCCATTTTTTGCGGTAAATATGAAACTTCATAAACAAGTGCCGCAGAGCGACAGCGCTCAACTGACATGTACTGTAGCCAGGTATTCTTCTGATAAACTCACTGGCAACCGAATCAAGTGCGCCCTCCTGCCACCGCGTTCGCGCTCAGAGCATATATCTAGGATACTACTAATACAGATCTAAAATCTATGATAGGCTATACCTACTGGTACAGTAGTAAAGATACAGCTGTGTAACTTTAATGACTTCGCTATATTAACATGTTATCGAGGATATGCGTCGAGCGCGAGCGTAGTGGTGGTGGTGGGGGAGGGTGGGAGGAGGGGGGAGGGGGTGGGGGAAGGTGGGTGGGGGGGAGGTGGGAGAGGGTGGTGGCGGAGGCGCGAGCTCTAATCTAGCAAAGCAGGTTCAGTCCTTTGGTTAACAGGTCATCACATTCCATGTTTAACCGCTCCCTCTTGAGCGGTCAAAAGGTTTATCCGAACCCTTACTCTTCGCATGTCACGGAAGTACATTTCATGGTCCTTTGCAGAAAAGCATACAAATGGGTAGAAGCTCACCGCTTGAAACAAAGGTTTCAATCGCTCCGTCAGAACCATGTCCTCAGAAAATGTCTAAGATCTGCCCTGTGCCCCATTGACGCTTGACCTGTAAGCCTCCATTTCCTGTCGTGCACGAGTGATGGCTTTGTCCGTACCATGATCTATACACCGACCTATCAGCAAGCCTACGTCGAGAGCCGTTTTAGACTTTAGTGGCCGCATCGTGTCATTTCCGTCCTATATGCTTAAGCTTAAGGAGCAAATTTGTTCCCTTCGTTTACTACACTCTTGACTTTGAACAGCTTTCTGACGCGCCCAGCTTCGGACTACCAACTCCGTTTTCAGATTACCCCCCCCCCCCACGCCCCCAATATCGTGACCGTACGGTCGAGCAGTTATAGAGATCTTGTGCCCAACTGTTGACGGACGCCGGACAATCATGCGATTCCTACAAGCTGCATCTGACTATGTCAGATGTGAGCCTAAAAATCATGGCACGCGATTTTGGTGCATATTGTTGCTCTGACTTGTGGGAAACATTTTCCTTTACACTCTTCGTGGTATTGAGAAATACCCCCAAATACAATTTTTACATAAAAATTCAGTTGTGTGTGTTGCATATATTTAGCGTGCCTCGACATTTCCGAGGAATGTTCTTTTGCTTGAGCTATAGACGTACTCTATAAAGTAAAAGGCTAGCCTACCCTCCCCGACACCCTGGACGACCGCTGCGAAGCGCCATCAACCCGGGTCCACGATCGGCCGGCGCGTGTCGGATCATTCAATCACGCGCATGCGCAAAAGCCATGAGTGTACATTTACAAACCCAAATTCCTAATAACAAGACGCCGCAGAGCGCTCTGGGGCCTCAGTCTGATGGTCTGTTGCTAACGATTATAAACGGTAAAATTTCAGTCGTGCGTCCGAGATGTACTTCACAGTTTGTTAG